CGGTTGACTACGTGGGAGTCCAGCGACATAGCCATTACGCTAACTGCTGGTTCCCCATTTTCCACAAACTTTTTGAAGTCCCCTCATATTCAGCTTGCTCCAGTTGGCTTCAACGTGTCCTTATTTCTAGCTAGGGCTTCTCTCCCTACCTGGGCTCCAGTCAAGAACCGTATGTTACATTTGGTCATCATTGTCTTAGTGCCTTTAGAGTGTTTGTTGACCTCCCTAGGAGGGGACATACTATCACCATTTTTTTTAAAAAGATTTATTTATTTAATTCCATTTATCATTGCTATTACTATTTTTTAATTTGACCAGAGACAGACAGAAAGAGAGAGAAAGGGAACGCAAGAAAGCCAGTCACCAGGTCTGGGACTCGAACCATAGTCATGTAGGAATCCAGAGCCTTTAACCACCACACTACCTGCAGCCCCAATCACCATTTTTTAAAAAAGAATGATTTATTTTATTTTATTTATCATTATTATTGTTATTATTTTTTTAAAAAAAATATCTAATTTTTATTTGTTATTACTATTTTTTTTTAATTTGACAATAGAGAGAGAAAGGGAGAAAGCAAACTGCCAGACTCAAACCATGATTGGCCATGTGGGAGCCCAGTTCCTAATCACCATGCCACCCGCTGGCCCCGGTACTAGCCCTGTTTTTCACATCAGGAAACTGAGGCACAGGGAGGTTGTCACTTGTTCAAAGTATACAGCCAGAGAGCGGTGGAGACCGTGGGTCTGCCCAGTCTCCCTGCCTTTCTCTTGTTCTAGTCTCAACCCAGCAGGTAGAAGGATCTTTTTAAACTGCACATCATATTAGATCACTCCCTCTCAGAGCCCTGCCATGGCTCCCTTCTTCTCTCAGTGTAAAAGCCAAAGTCCTCAACAGTGATTAACAAGGCTCTCCATGATCTGATCCCCCATCGCCTCTGACCCTGTCTCCCTGTCCCAGCCCCTTCCTCCAGTGCCTCACCACTCTGTCCTTGTCGTTCTCAGCACACTGGGCACATTTCTGCCTCAGGGCCTTTGCACGTGTCCCCTCTGCCCGGAGCGCTCTCCCCCCAGATATCATCAGGGCTTACTCCTCCCCCACCTTCACGTTTTACCCAAATGTCAGTAAGTTTTCCCAGGCCACCTTGTCTAATACTGCAGCCCTCCCAAGCTCTCCCTATCCCCTTTCCCCACCTTTTCCCCACCTTTTTGTTATCTGAGTACTTCTACCGACATGCTCTGGATTTTAGAGCTTTACCAGAGCGAGGGCACTAAGAGGGCGGGACTGTCTGTGTGTCCAGCTCCCAGGACCAAGGCGGATGCTCAGTAAAGGCTCCCCCCTGCTGATTGCTGTCCCCGCAGCACGTGTTCTGTGAGGAGTGCCTGTCCCTGTGGCTGGACCGTGAGCGCACCTGCCCGCTCTGCCGCTCCGTGGCTGTGGATA